CTAAGATACACAAAGCCGTACCCGCCAGAGATTGACCGAAGCCCCCTTCCCCGGAACTATCGGTTGCCAGAATTCATGCTATTCTCCGGGGATGGGCAGACCTCATCCATTGAACACATAGGCCGTTTCACGGCCCAATGTGGAGAGGCCGAGCCCAAAAGCTCCGCTTATTTGTTCACTCTCTAACCAGCGTAGCGTTCTCATGGTTCATAAACCTTCCACCGAATTCGGTGAGGGATTGGTCTAACATGGAAAGAATATTCCACGAACATTTCTATCAGACCAACCGAGAGATAACGGTCGCCGAGCTGGCAAGGATGAGCCAGACGTCAGACGAATCACCTAGCGACTACCTGCAATGGTTCAAAACATGCAGGAACTGGTGCCGAACAAACCTACCAGAGAGGGAATTTGTCAAAATGGCTGAAGAAGGGTTGGAGTTCGAATACCGGAAAAAATTCCAGGGAATCAAATTCCGGGACATGCATGACTTGATCAACAAGGTGGACAGATACGTGTCCTTATTGAAGGAAGAAATGCAGAAGAAGACGGCTTCGAAAGGGACTTACTACAGGAATCCCATTGTCGGCTACGCCGAAGCGGACGGCTCCGTGAAGGCCGAGAGCGACGAGGTCGAGATGAGCTTGGCTGAAGTCAGCACAGACAAACCATTCGTCTGCAAAGGACTTGTCAAGGCCGACAATAGCCGCACAAAGATTCCCGATGCCAAGTTTGCGGCTCGAGAAACGAAGGCCTACACTTTTGATTTGACAAAGGCCAAGGCTATCTTTGACCTGCTATTGACCGAGAAGAAGGTCAAATTGTCTTTCGGTCATAAAATTTTGAAACCCGACGAGCTCAAAGGGAAGAAGTTGATAGACGAGAAGAAGCTCCAATTCCCGTAGAAGGCAGCCATGTAGGTTGACTCCAAGCCGTTCCCTCCACCTGTCGTTAATATGGTCAACGCCCAGCTCCGAGCCGAATATAGGGAAGTTCATCGGCCGGCGAAAGGAAAAGAGCCGTTAGCTAAACCAGAGCCGGTGCTTTGCAACCGATGCAAGTGTGAGATCGGTCAGCACAGATTGCAGGAGAACAAAAGGAAGGCCGCTGAGCCCTCTCAACAGTCTGTGAAGAAATTCGGTGGGCAGTACGACCGTCGGCCAGCCAACAGAGCTATTTTTGATTGACTGGGGGCACGAACCCCCAGTACCTCGGTTGGCCAAAGAGACAAGGCTGCCCCTAGGCCAGTAAAGACTTTCAAACTGCCAGTCATACGGGATGACCGTTGGTACCATGCCTGACCGGAGGGCAAGGCCGAACCACTAACAAAAACCCAGTTGAGAAGAATGCAGAGACAGGTTCAGCAGGCCATAATACAGACGACCCAGGCCGAGGGTTCCAAACACCAAAAGAAAATGGCAACTTAGTAGCCGATCGTCTCCTCTACGACGAAGACGGCCAGCACCAGACCTTCAAGGACGTGGCGCTCTAGGCAGGACGAGAACCCTCATAGGACTGCGGCCTTTTCTGTTGAGCCAGAGGCCGTGGCCGTAGAGAAATCAGACGAGGGTATCATCGATGTTTACCGCGGAAGGGACCCCCTATTCTCGGCCAACGGTTTGTCCTTCCTCATAGAATTCCACAAAGACCACTCGGCCATCGACCTATACGGCATGACCCCTGAGAACCGTGAAATCGTGAAGTTGGCCCTCAAGAACGCTAAGGCAAAAGGGCTCCTCATTACCAGGGGGTCTGACTCAGCCATTAAGGCCGTATACCAGGCAAACCGGGAGGCCAGAGCAAGAGGGATGCCAGGTTACCAACCTGACTTGGGAAGATTGGAGGCCAAGGCCCCCTTCAGCAAGGGCGACTTAGAATACCTCCGCCAATATTTTACCGTGACTCCGGCCGACACTATCTTTGGTCTGACGGCCGAGGAAAAGGCCCAGGTAAGCCGTTTGGACGACTACTTGACGGCCAGGGATACGTTGGCTAAGGCTAGACGAGCCCTCGAGGAGAAGGTCGAGGACTCGGACCCCCTCTGAGATCAAAGTGTCCACAGGCGAGGTCCCTGGGACTGCAAGGCCTATGATCGAGGGCCCCGGTGATCCTTTCTTTGCGCATGAGGCTGAAAACGACCCCACATTAGGAATCTCCGATGAGGAATACGAGGGGATCCTCGGGATGGTTGAGGGAGCTGATAGGGGAGACCAGCACGAGCCGAAGGAGGTCAGCATGAACATGGTCTTGGTACTGCCGTCCGAGTTTTCAGCCCCAGGAGGGCAGAGGAACGGCCTGGATGATGACGTGGTCGAGGAGCAGCTTGATCTGAGGCCAAAGACAAAGGAAGAGTTGTTGGCCGTGGCTTTTAACGAAGTAATACCCAGAGATGAGCCAAACAAATACCGACATCTCAAGCCGTTGTACATCTCGGCTCACGTGGAAGGTGTGCCCGTGTCCAAAGTCTTCGTTGACTGTGGGGCGATGGTCAACATCCTTACCTATTCCCTGATGAGGAAGCTGGACAAGTCAAAAGAGGACCTCATCCCCAGCGACGTGGTTATGAGCAGCTTTGTCGGCGATAAATCTAAGACCATCGGGGTATTGCCGTTAAAAATCACCGTGGCCGACCAGACAAGAGTCGCGGCCTTCTATGTAGTCGAATCCAGTGTGGACTACAATATATTACTCGGCCGTGACTGGATCCATTAATTTGGATGCATACCGTCTTCCCTCTTCCAACTATTGTTCTTTTGGGACGGCCAGAAGGTGTCCATTCACCCGGCCGACGAAAAACCTTTCGAAGCCAATGCCGTGCAAGCACGAATTCACGACGATGACGTTGGATGGGTTGTCCTCATTGGCCACGATGCAAGCGGCCGACCAACCAGGACAACGGCCCAGAAAGTACTGGAGTTAGGCGCCGAGAATGTTCGACAGGATTCGGCGCGCGAAGTATTGATCGACCTCACTAGCCTCTAGATGACAGACAAAGCCACTAAAGAAGAGGGAGCAGCGGCCGTGACCAACCTGTTGGAAAGACTGCTGGAACATTGGGCGGAGGAATCCTTACGGCCAAACTCACCGATCAACTTGATCGAGTTCCTCCACGAATCAGATGAGGTGGACGCTTTGACCTTTGAAGACTTGGAAACGGCGCCTGCCGAGATGGAGGATGACTACCCTGAGGTCCAGGACCCTTTATTAGAAATAAATGTAGGGACGGAGGCCGAACCACAGCCTCTTTTTGTAAGCCAACTTTTGAACCCTGAGTTAGCGGGCGAGATT